TGTAAAACAAATTGTAATTTACATTTCTAACAATATGCAAAAAGAAAAAGGAGAGAAAATAGTTTTTTTTTTTTTCAGGGAAAATGTATCTGCCCTCCGGCCGCACACTGGGAAGGGCTGGTGCATGGACCCTGAGATTTATCAGAATCTGAGTAGTCTACAAGGTGAGACATTATTCCAAATCTGTTTGTTGAAAGAACAAGTTCTGGTTCATCCGAGTCCTAAGGACGTTATAAGTAAGAATTAATACACTGTATGAATAACAGGACATATACAAAAACATAAACTGACGTTAAAAAACTTTGGAATCATTAATCATTTCTAGGACTATTGAAATGAACATCAAAATGTTGGCATATAAGAAGATATAAGATATTACTTTTATTAAAGTCTGCCACTAGAGCTGAATAGTTATTACATGACAATGTAAAATCCCATTTCAGTAATTTACTTACTGTCAATATTAGATTATCATTTGGCTTATATTTTAATGTTTCCTTATATAATTCTTTAAGAGTTCAAGTTGGTTGTGAATTGTCATAATGCCTATTGTATAATGAGACTGTTGTAAACACGGAATTTAGTTTGAAAAACCGGAAGAAAGAAATTTTTTAAAGTAAACATTAGATTTATTATTATTTCTTTGTGCAAATCTGGCTCTAAATCATATTTTTTCCATAGGTTGAACTTGGTTCGAACTGGTGTGACGTGTGTGTAGCCTGTTATAGCACTGCAGAGACTGTTACAGCCAAAAACTAGTGAATATCAAGTGTTACAGTGTTGAACTGACCTGTGACAGAACAGCTGATATGAACTGTGGAAAGCAAACTTAGCCAGAGTTATAGGCTTTGTGTAACACGTGGCGTTTGCTTGACTGTATGGATGAAAAAGTCATATCACTGTCAGTAAATGTGGAAAGTATGACTTAGCTACCGTGGTCCCCACAAAGGAAAAGACCTGACAAGTGTGTAAGATGGCAGCCACAGTAAATGATGGCTGGTCCCCACTGAATCAGGAAAACCAGACTGTGCTTGGTAACACTTTGACACTATAGTTACACCCATCTGAACTAAACTCAACAATGTGCACAAGAGCAAACGTTGGACAAATTTTGATTAAAACAGAAACATTAATGTTGAAACCCAACAAAATGACTCCTACTGTACCTGCATGACAGAGGATGAAGGACTCTCAGCCATCTTCTCTGCTGTTCTGGGGTCTTCAGTGTCACAGGGATCAGCAGCACACGAGTGTTCTTCTGCATGAAATAATAATTCACTGTTAATCAGCAGCTTGTGCACCAGTGTGCACAAGAGCAAACATTGCACATCTGTGACTAAAAAAGAAACACTAATGAAGTAATGAAACACTGCAATTCAAATGTAGTGTAACCTAACCTCACAATTAATATAACTATTGAGTGGGTAATCTGGCCACACTAACACTCAAAACCATTACTATAGTGTCTTAACTGTACTTGGAGAATTCTGATTCTTCACATTTGAGCTATTGATTATGATTATAATGATTCCTTCACTCCACACTGACCATCATTTATGACAAAGCTGTTTCCTCCATGGCCAATCATTTCCACCGTAGTTGTATGTTATTTCTTCTCCTGTCTGAATGTCCCTCAAAGCAAACAGACAGAGGTGTGGTTTGCCCTCCGTTATGATCCTCTTCATTTTGCAATTTGGACGCTTGTGGTCATCATTGACGAGTCGTCCAAAGCTGCCATCTTCTTGGGCTGCATCGATACTTGAGGATGAAAAAAAAAAGAATGACTAGGCTTGATAATATCAAATTAATGATTAAATTACATATTGTAATTTCCCATGACTTTAATTACTCATGGCTATACATGCTAACTTAAAAAACATTTGATTATTATCAAATTTGTCTGTTGTGAAAAAACTAAATTGTGCAGAAATGTAACATTCAATCAAAACCTTACCACCATGTCTTTTCTTTCCATTGTACATGCTCTGTGATAGGTCTTCCTCCTCCTGTCTGATTTTTCATGATTTATTAGCTGGCCCCTGTACTCTACCACAAAGTCTCCTTTGCTGAAATGGGCTTTGGCAAACACCCCTCAACCTAGTCAAAGACGTGTTACAAATGTCATTTTATAATACCCTATAGGTTTCTCATGGTTAAGCTATTTTTCATAACAGATCAATAATTACATGAAAAGATATCATTAATACAGGCTACTACATACTGTACAGAACAACAACTCTTTAAGGTGCACGTATTTGTGTCAGGATATGCAAAAAAGCTATTAAATGGGTTTTGGAGATTAATTTATTGCCAACGTCAATGTGCCAGTGTATAATATAAACAAATACAGTACCTTTAAATGAGTTAATATATTCCACTTCCAGTTTTGCCATCTTGTCCACACCCCTGGCGGCATATTCAATTGCATCCTGTAGTGGCGGTTTCCTTCTCCTCGTAGCCATTAAAAATCCTATATTAAATACAAAACTATTATAATATTACAAGATATCCCCATTAATCATATATTTGATTTAAAAAATGTTTTGGGTTATGTTCAGCCAAATCTAGACCACATATAGGCAGATGGCACTGCTAGAATATTTTACCAAATTCCACCCCACCCCTCCCCCACCCCACAATAACATATAACAATATATTTCACAAGAGTTTGGCTTAGCCCTGCTCTACATTTAAAGTGCCTGGAGATAACTCATGTTGTGAACTATATAAATGAACTGAATTGAAGCACAAATTTTCAGCTTTTAAACAGCTGCACGTGGAGTCTCCTACTGCCTCTCTATCCTTGCTCTGATCCTCTAAACGAGAGGAAACTTAAGTCAAACTTAATATATTAACAGAGGAGGCTCTCAGCTCAGCACGGCTCACGCACGTCTCACGTGTGCCCCAGGTAGCATGTTAGCCAATTAGCTAGCGCTAGCCAGCTAGCTCTCCTTCAAATAAAGTTTTCACTCTGACCGAATGCAACGCGATGAAGTTTTTTAACGTTTTTATAACCAACCTACCTAAAACATATCAAACTGTCTCACTGAAATAAACATTAAAGTCACGATGGCATAACTTACCTTTTCCTTGAATCCACGCTGCTACTTGCTACCGTCTCTGTGCTGTTCCTCCGTCCGGTTGTCAAGGACCGCTTGTTTTGTATCATCAGTGCATCCAGGAAATGTGGTATAGCTGTATAGCTGTCTTACATTAAACACCTCGCAGTAGTCATGTCAGTTTGCGTATATCAAACACATCCAATATATCGCGTACAAATTAATATTAATTATTAACGGATAGAGAGTTAATCTCAGAGTTTTTTGCCAATTCGTTATTTGAAAATAAATCACAAGCCTGTCTTAGCACTAGCTTAGACAAAACTTTAGCTTGCATTAAAGGGCTATTTTTATTAAGTGTTAGCTTTGAGCTAAAAGCTCCAAATTGCATTTACTTATGCTGGTAATTACATACATGAAAAACATTTGTAATAGTAATAACATGTATATATTATTTATTTATTACATTCATTTATTATAGCTGTAGTCCATCTTTGAAGTCAGACAATTTCTTGCACATGCGCAGATAAGCCAAGTGTGTGTGGAGTGTGCGTTTCTGCCTTACTACGCCTGTCCAGTAGGGGCGGTAGAGAGTTAACCTCACCTATACACACTTAAACACACATTTTTCGGTTTTTGTGCATGGTGGGGTAACCCCTGAAAAATTGACAGGCCACTCCCCTGACCTTCTTCTCAACGAATTTAATGCTCTTCGTGGTGGGGACCAGGGTTTTGGTCCCCACGAAAATTTTGGTACCCACACTGTGAGTGTGCTGTCCGGTCGTGGATCCCACAATGTAACAAAGACAAACACACACACACACACACACACACACACATACACACACACACACACAGTCATCAGGTAACACTACTAATGCCTGACCTCACCCACGGGAACACATCCTTCAAAGAATGTCAGTAGGAGAAAAGGGGGGGAAGAAGGGAGTTAAAGAAAAAGCAGTGCATGTGTGTCCACACGAGTGTGTGTACAAAAGTGTGTGTGTGTAGTTTATATTCTCATGTGTGCATTGTGAATCGTGAGTTGCTGGCAT